ATAGTAACTTCAATTTCAGAAATCACATAGAATATATTGTACGTGATGCAAACAGAAAGCTTGGTTTTGTGTTAATAAACGCCAGGGATTTCAAATGGGAACTAGGAATTCTTCTATTCAATGCCTTTGTCAGATCAAAGCTTGAATACGCTTCAACAATTTGGAATCCGCAAACAGCATTTCATTCAGAGATGATAGAAAAAATACAGAAGAAATTTCTTAGGTACACCTACTTCAAAAAAAAGAGTCTCCCTCTATGATCTCCTATAGGACTCAACTAGAACATTTTGACATGCCAACCGTGTCGGATCGTCGAGGCTTGAATGATATACTAATTATATTCAACATATTCAATCAGATAATGAATGTACTTGAACTCTTCAGTGTGATCAATCTTCATGTTCCTAGTGCTAGTCTTAGAAATCGCAATAGGGTTTTCTATGCAGACACCCGATCAGAGTCTCCACTCAATCGCTACCTTAGGCAAGTGAATGATCTAGTCGTAAGTCATCAAATTCTTGATTTTTTGCTGTAATGAATTAGAAATACGACAGTCGTTTAAAAAAATGCTCCATATATGCCTGTTTTTATTCATGTTTCTCTAGTACGTAATTTTAGGTGTTTATTTACTCTGTGTATTGTAAAATCATATATTTTATGTACCATGACATTGACTATATACATATAATCGGGTGTAAACCTGTTTGGAATGCAGTTTAAATAAAATCTATGTATCTATCTAACTTGACTAAACCAGTGGAGAAAATTTAGTTTCAATAATTGGCTTTCTGTAGATGGTCAACGTTATGTTCCGTTCTCAAAACTCAGTAAATTAACTTGTGAGTTGAGATATTTTTCACCTATATTGATTTAACTCTGTTTATTTTTCAAACTGTGGAAGGTTATTACCCCAAAAAACAAGAAACCTGGATACTTCTGACACAATTCATTACTTTTGTCACAAAAGTGGAAAGTACACTAAGAAATTTGAATATTTCGGTGTTCTATCACAATGTTAGCTCGTTGAAGTTTCTAAATGAAGTTTTTTGAGATATTTTAAGAAAATAGAAATTAAACCAAAATTATAATTACAATTCAATACAATTTTTTTCCATGACACTGAAAACAAGAGTAACTCATATAAATGATTATAGGAAGTTCCAGTTTGTTGTTCATATGTAATTGAACAAGAGTTTTTATTTGTCTCTATGTAATTGTGTTATTGGTTGGGCCAGTTTACAAATAAATTTAAAAATATATTTGCTGCAAGCAAATTGCACAAGTNGTATACCATGGACCCCGAATGGCTAAATGGTGCAAGAAATGGATAACATTTTTCAAAACTTGTACACATTTCGTCATTGTTTCTTTCATTCATATGTAGAAGGATGAGAATCTGAAAATTTTTACAAAAAAGGATACTAACAATCGAAACGTCGTGACATAACTTGGTTTAAAATCTTTTAATTTTTTGATTTTTTGTTAATAATATTTTTAATATTTCAATTTTTATTTGTGTAGTTGTTGCTTGTATGTGTGTTGTCTTATTTCTTGTTTTCTTTTCCAGATTGTACATCATCAGAAATGTCCCAATGTCCACTAAGTTTAGTCCGAAGACACGCTGCGAAATAAAGTCATGTTCTTGGTTTCCCATATCTGACTTGCCCAACAACAAAAAAGACACGACCCCTAAAGTAAAAATGGGTGTTAATCCAAATGCTTTCTTTATGGTTTTACCTTTTGTTAAGAGGCTGAAGAACATTTGCAGTAGTACAGCAAAAAAGAGTAGACACAAATCTTTCAGTTTTTGTGAAGAATTGACAAACACACGACCAAAGTATGTATACATTTTTCAAAAGAATATAGTTATTTTGTGTGAATTTTCAAAGTGTACAATCTGAAATTTAAATTGATACATGAAACAAAAAGAACAAGAAACGAGAAGTAAATTTTTATAGTGTTCTTGTATCACACAAGTTCGTCACTGAATGTCACAAATATATCTTTCTGAAAAAGTTTCTTTGTTTTGAAGGAAATATCTCAATATCAGAAAAAAAAAATGTAGAAAGTGTTATCAAATTATTAAACCTTGGTAGACACCCCGGATATTTGTCCGTGGTGGCATATCTAATTTTGGGAATTTTGGGTGTGAATGTTACAAAATGTTAATAGAATAGAATATGAATAGAATAGAATATGTTTATTTCATCACATTAACTACAAAATGTACAATAGTGACAAGTCAAACTGACAAACATGAATAACAATAATTGAACAATAGTTGTTGTTATACATGCTGATTACATCTAAAACAATTATTATGGAAATAAAAAACACATGTTACATATTAATATTAATGTCTCACAATAATTCAAATATTCGTCGATGGAGTAGAAACAGTGCCTTAATAGCGGGTGCTTAACTTTAGCCTTGAAACGGTTATAACTCAGACCGATAATGTCTGTTGGTATTTTATTATATAAATGTAAGTTGAGTGAATTTCGGGATGATACATCCAGTCTATAAAATTGAGGCTTCAGGTGTGCACCCCTTCGAGTAGGGTAATTATGAAAGTCATCATTTGTAAGGTACTTAGTATTATTTTTGTGAATCTCTAAAATGTTATATTCTTATCGATTTTCTTTTTTAAGCCGATTTTTTTTAGCCACAATTAATGTGCAACTCAGGAACCNGGCATTTAGCAATGATAGTGTTAATGAACGGTATGTTTGACGTTGGTTTGCAAAATTTCCGAAGATTTTAGCCTCGAAGATGAGCCCCGAATAGGTATACCTGCAGTAATCTAGGACGAGGATTTAGGGGACTCTGGTGGAAACTAACCCATCACAAACGGTGTGTGGGATGGTGTAAGAGCAGGGTGTCAACTCCCATGTGGTTTTTGATGGTTTAAAACGTATTGGAAAGGTTGAGAAGCTTGAAAAGTGGGTGCCCTTCGATTTGACCGATCGACAGTAATTGTCACGTTTCGAGGTTTGGTCTTCCTTGCTTTTGCATAACCAAGACGTTCCTTTTTGAGTCAGATCGTCACGTGTGATAAAAAATTGATCCTTTATGACAACAAGAGACGTTCATGACAGTGGTTAGACCACAATGGCACTTCCCAAAGGTGAAAACACACCAATGGTGGTCAGCAGCTGGTGTGATTCACTATAACTTTCTGCAACCAGGCCAGAGTCATATTGCGAGAAAATTGAAGAAATGTAACGAAAATTGCGTTAGCAGCAGCTGGTTTTTGCCTACAAAAGCCATCCGATCCTGCTTTACGCCCATCTGCACGATTCACAAATCTCCTTCCGAAAATTAAACGAATTGAGCGTCGAAGTTTAGCACCTCCCGACAACTGACTACCACATTCTCAAGCACTTCTATAACTTTCTCATCGGTAGAACCTTCCTCAATTAGGACCAAGCAAAAACAGCCTTTGTCGACTTCATCGAATCCCAAATACGCAATTTTTATGTTGACGGATCTGATTGAATTGTGTTAGTTGGCAAAAATACACTGATTCAAATAACGCTTATTTAGATCAAATTGAAGTGTTCACTAAGGTGTTAGAGTTTAAAGTAGACTCAGAAAAACGGACAAAACTTCTGAAACAACTTGATAGATGTTAACATATTGGTCACCTCAGTAACTATTTTCAATTTTTATACAATATGTTTTATATAATGAAAACCATGTCTAGAAGGTCCTTTTACAACACGGCAACAATTTCAATTATATTTTGACTGATTGTAATTCGTTTCACATAAATGGGATAAAATAAGCAGAGGTATCTGCGCTTTTGATCAAAAAAGAAAGTGTAAGAAATGTACATGATATTAACACATAATAATATGACATTAATAACAATGTTAAATTTTGTCCCAAACTTTGATATTGCCTTAATAATGTTGCGAACTATACCAATAACTTATGCAAGTGGGGAAAGGAATGTGTCTAAATTGAAAACTTTTTACCATTTTTGCCATTGAGCATAAAATTTCTAATCAAATGAACTTGAAAGATTTAATATAAAAATTGTCAGAAATAGAAGTAAAATGGAAAAATTTCTTATAACTTTCACAAAGTTAATATCAACTTATTAATTTTTCAAGATGAAAATTTTATTTGTGTGGCTGTGCAGTATTAATTTTTTGTAATATCATTAACAATGCAGCAATCTGAAAATGTTGTAACTAGATTCTGTTTTCAGATACTTTTAATTTTTCCTGATTTGCCCTACTTGGTTGTTAATTATGTTATTTGTTTATTTTTAGATATATGTTTTTGTTATTTGTTTTTTTCTCTAAGACGATGTAAAAGCTGAGTTTGGCGCTGCCATGGTATTATTAATAATCACATGAAATAACATCATATTACAAATTTATTATGTACAAACATTTGTTGAGTTGAAAAGGTACGCCAGATATAATTTATGTTTCCCAAATGGGAAACTAGGCATACAGAAGAGGTAAACTCTTGTCAACAAGAGGAAAACATGAAAAATCAAAACTTTCATGTCGTCTGGTTTAAGATAACTTCAACGTGAAATCAATAGGTTTATAATTTTTGACTTTCAACCTCCAAGCACCCCACACCATTTAATTGAATTATTACATAAACTGGCATAACATTTTCAGTATACTGTATGTATATTTTTGAAATTTCATTCATTCAAGCTCGAATAAGAGTGTTTTGGAATGTTACCCAAATATATGAATATATGAAGTTTCTATTCCATGTATGCTGCCAGTTTCTTTAAGATTCTTTAAGATTTAAGCATCGCAAGCAAACATGATAGACTAGAATATTAGGGAAATGTGTTTCTCGTCTGTAGACACTTTCATAGATTTTTACAAATGAATATTATCGCCACTTATAGGCACCATCCTATCAGTGTTTGCAATAACTTCTGAATTTTGTAGTAAATATATCATCTGTGAATATAATTTAGAGTTTCAGTTATAGTCGTACTTTCCAGTTGTTCCACAGTAGTAATTTGAAAAAGACTGTAATGAGAAATCTAGTTATCTTTGATAAACAAATTCGACACAAATAGTATACCATGGACCCCGAATGGCTAAATGGTGCAAGAAATGGATAACATTTTTCAAAACTTGTACACATTTCGTCATTGTTTCTTTCATTCATATGTAGAAGGATGAGAATCTGAAAATTTTTACAAAAAACATTTATTCAAGACGAAAATCATTGAAAAACACACTTTTTATGTTTTTATGAATATGGTTAACAATGTTTCTTGCTGAAAGAAGGTAAAGGTTTGGATTCCGGGATTACAATGTTAACAGATTTGAAATTTAAGATAAGATAATTGAATGAAATATTAACCAGTTGGGAATATTTGGTGTAGTGAACCAAAAAACCAAAATAAATGAGTGGCTACAGTTAAGCGCGCTGAAGTGGATTATAAATTATCTTGAAGTATAAAGAATCATCACTTAGAGCCAATTGCATATACCAACAATCGAAATGTGAGGTTGCTATATTTGAATTTTTTTTCACTACTTATTTTCAAAGTTTATTATTTGTATATTATTAACATTTTACTTATTTAACAATTCATTTCCATTTCTTTACAAATTGGCATCTTTATATACTTTTACATTTCATATTCATTATTTCTTTAAATTTTTTTAACTGACTTGTTTCAGACCTGTTAACATTTTTTAGACAGTGGAAGTCCAAACCTCCAAACCACATTTTTACATAATTTACATCCACTTAATGAGTAATTGTTTCATGTTCTAGGACAAAGTCCATCCAAAAAACTGACAATTCTGAAACCAAACATATCAAGAAAAAGCAAGAAAAAAAACATTCAAAGAGGCAATTATTTGCTGATTCTCACGAGGATACCAGTATCCAATTTTGCGCCCCTTCATGGTTGAATTTCAAATTCGATAGAACAGCCATACTGAAATGTATGCCATGAAAACATTTCTTTTTGTTGGGAGATATTTCAAAATCTACTTAGAGAAAATCCATGACTGATGACCTGAAATGTACAGTATGAACAAAGAATTCAAGGAATGTCTCTGTGAATGTGCGTGTAGACATAAAATGTTCGTCAATTATTTTGTTGAATCTCGAAAAGCATTCTCATATGGTTTTGATCATCAGTATCTTGATAAATTGAGGCAGTTTTCATTCCGAATAATGAACAACACTAATTTTTCAAAACTGATCAGGATTGAATTTAAAACACCTAATTATTTTTTCGAAAACATGAATTAACTTGTCAAGATATTGTATATATCCATTTCTCAAGTTGAATATTTGTTTTTTTAAATACTTGAGGTGATTATAATATATTTGAACTATGTTGGTTTTTATTCTTTTCAAGTTTTTTTTATGTTGGTTTTAATTGTGTAAACTGCTAATTAATGGCCAACGAAATTGAAATCGTTTTTTTATTTGAAATCAGTAGACATTTTCAGTTTAGGATATTTTTAAATAAGTTTCGGTATAATATTTTTGGTCTTTGGTACTATTTGGGAGTTTTCAATTTTGGAAAGTACTGAAATACTTCAAAGTGATAAAGCTCGCCCAGTTATTGTATATATCACATGTATGTTTATAAAGTCGAAAATTATATTTGAAAAATCAGGATTGTTTGAAACTTGTGGCATCTAGTTGGTGCTTAATTTCAACTAGCGATATGAATTCCAAACTTTGTGATTTTTCCTTTTATAATAATATATAATTTTATTGGATAAGTGACCTGATGTGAACAAATATACTTTTTGAGAATTACGCACACGATTTGTTCAAATTCACAACTGAGGTTATACAAGATAAATTGTGACAAGATATATTATAAATGAAATAGTTTTTTCGGGTTGCAGTCAGGTTTTGTTGGCTATTCGAAGACAATTCTTTGTTTTTGTCAAACTTTCGGTGATGCTCACTTCCTTCCTCAAAACAACTAAAATATATTTAATAAAACAATTTGTAGGACAAACTGATCTACTCAACTAACGTGAAATTGAAAATAATTATCTCCACAAAACAACACTTTTTGAAGGAAGTGACTGACAGTGACAATAATTTTAGGGAGAAAATTTTAATTAGAAGAATAATTTAACCATTTTCAAATTATATAGCAGAGTGAAAAATCCAACTAAAAATGACTTGACTGCAACCCCAAAAACTGTTCTTCATATATACATATATGCCCAAGTTCTGGTGAGACCTACAATTTTGTAGGTACTCGTGGCAGATTCCCGTATTTTAGAGACCTATTTAATGATGTATAGCTCTTTTGGTTCTCTAGATGTAAAGGAAAAACCAAAAAATCCCAAATTATTTTTTTTCTATCTTTTTTATTCGCAGACATATTGAAAATCTAACAACATTTTGCTATTGGCACTTGATGTGTGCTATCAGAATATGTCAATGAATCTTTTATACAGGGTGTCATCTGACTTGGGCCACCCCCAATCTTTGAATATTTAAATACGTACCTGTATTTTTTCTTGTAGTTTTTTATCGTTGACGTTCACTTCATACCAAGAAATTTACATTAATTTTATATTTCGAGATGTTTTGGTAATATTTTATTATAATTGGGTGAATTATTCTCTATCAAATTAGGGCCCTGGAAATTGGTCGACTGAGTTAAATGAAAACACAATAGTAACTTTCACGTCTCCTTATGTACCGTATACTTTTACGAGAGTTTTGTTTCATTTTTAGGTACTTGCTCTGAGCGTTTTCTACAATGAACTTCAAATAAGAAAACCTTTTATGGTTATCTGAAACATATCTAAAAAAAAGTATATTTGTGTATTTTGATAGGCAGAAAAAGAAATGATAGCAATAATAACATACGAAACGATCACTATAATAGTAATGAAAATTGAAATGAAGTAATTTATATACACAAAAAATTAATGGCGCAATAAATGTTCGAATTGAAGTCCATATTAATTATTACCCTTAATAAACTCCTTTGCTGTATTATTGCGAAAGCATTTAAAATCCTGTTTCTCAAGTCTTCCATATTTTCTATCTCTCTGCCAGCGTAAATCCTATTTTTCAATGTCCCCCAAAGAAAATAGTCCAAAATAGTAAGATCTGGTGATCTTGCAGGCCATCTTATTGGCCCATTATTATTTCTGGAACAAAGTTTCATGCGGTTGACGCCTTTCGGAATGAATTTTCATATAACGTTAGGGTGTAGCATAATTGTTTCTATGGTTTTCATAATATCCCGTTTTTCTTCAGCTGAAAACATCATTTTCACACCAATAAACTCAATATGACAAATGTCAAAATTATATCGAAAATTGTTCTCATAGTCTACTGAGATTTCATCAGTATTAAACATGGTAACTAAAGGTAAGTATTATAGTAACTAGCAAAAATGTGGTGTTATGATCTTTCTATCTCCAAGAATCACTTATGGTGCATAGAGTGCATAGGTATTTCTTCCATTTGATCTGTTGACAGATGGAATAATGGACCAATAAGATGGTTTGCAAGATCACCATATCTTAATATTTTCGATAATTTTCTATGGGGGATATTGAAAAATAGTATTTACACTGGCAGAGAGATATAAAATATGGAAGACTTGAGACAGGATTTTAAATGCTTTCGCAACAATACAGCAAAGGATTTTATTAAGGGTAATAATTGATATGAAAAACTAGTTCAAAAATGTCTTGATATGGAAGGACACCAATTTGAACATTTATTGCGCAAATAATTTTTTTTGTGTATATAAGTTACTTCTGTTCAATTTTCATTACAATTATAGTGATCGTTTTGGATGTTATTAATGCTATCATTTCTTTATCTGCCTATCAAAATACATATAATATATTTTTGTTGTGGATATGTTTAAGATAACCATAAAAGGTTTACTTATTTGAAGTTCATTGTAGAAAACGCTCATAGCAATGGAAATCTGAAAAAATATGAATAAGTACCTAAAAATTAAACAAAAACTCTCGAAAAAGTACACGGTACATAAGGAGACGTGAAAGTTACTATTGTGTTTTCATTTAACTCAGTTAACCAATTTCCAGGACGTAATTTAAAAGGGAATAATTCACCCAATTATAATAAAATATTACCGAAACATCCCGAAATATAAAATTAAATTAAATTTCTTGGTATAAAGTGAACGTCAACGATAAAAAAACTACAACAAAAAATACAGGTACGTATTTAAATATTCAAAAATGGGGGTGGCCCAAGTCAGATGACACCCTGTATAAAATATTCATTGACATATTCTGATAGCACACATGAAGTGCCATTAGCAAAATGTGGACATATTTTCAATATGTCTGCGAATAAAGAAGATACAAATAATTTAGGCTTTTTTTGTTTTTCCTGTGTATCTCCAGAACCAAAGGAGCTATATTCGATTTTTTTACATCATTGAATAAGTCTCTGAAATACGCAATTTTGCCACAGTTTAACCAACACTCTATCTCTTATCATTTACGAGATCCCCATGTACAGAAACGCATTTGAGTAGCCCTGTATATTAGTGCCATAGGCGTACTGCATTCAAATCATTTACTCTCAACGAAATTTACTGAAATTATTTGAGTAGTTCACCTACAGACTGATTTCGAGCCTCTCATTAGTGCAGAAAAAGTCCAACCCAAACAGCAAAGTGCCTGGGACTCGATTAATTTCAACGCGGCTCGACTATATGTATGAAACCTTTGTTTAAGAGAAAAATCATTAACTAGCAACAGCTCCATCTCAAGAACAAAGCCCGAACCATAGCTTTGTTCATGAGATGACAAAGGTTTCATACATGCATTCAAGCCACGTTGAAATTAATCAAGTCCCAGGCACTTTGCTTTTGGGTCGGATCTTTCGTGCAATGATGAGAGGTAATACCTCAAAACGGTCTGTAGGTGATCTACTCAAATAATTTCAGCATAGTCCTGCTGCTGTATGAACGAGAAATATCTACGAGACTAACCTCTGTGAGGTATCTTGCATACATGTCTGTCTGATATAAGTCAATATCCGGCGTGGTATTAAGTGGGGGAGTAGTTGTTTTCCAGCATTTACCAGAACCTACTGTGTACTTAGTTGGGAGAGACAAATGTTTCGAGATTTCACTTTGAAATATTTACTTTTTTATAAAATAGATTACAAGTTTTTTCTTATGAAGATATAAATATGGAAAACTTGCCGACGAGAGTAATACAGAAGTCAAATTTTGACAGTGTGTCATGTAGGAAATTTCTAAATGCTAAGTGATTTTCTCTTATCTTTCTCGTATTTCAGTAGGAGTATATATATAATATACATTATATATATACATATATATGTATACATATATATGTATATTATATATATAATTTGAGTTTCGAATAATATATTTCCAATACCATTATCCTGTCACTGATATTTTCACGTTTTTTCTCAAAATGAGACGCAGTTTCTGCATTTTATTAAAAAAATGGTTTCAATTGGGGAATAATGAACAATGTATATATCTAGCGATTTTTGGCGTGACACAACGATTTCCAATGTTCAAAACATTTTTTAAATAACAATTGATTTGAAATATTTTCTTCGAGAGTGTGAATACGAAGGTAATGGAAACATGCTAGATCTATGAAACGAAAGATTCAGTTCAGTTCAGATTCTGTTTCCTCATTGCTTTCATAATTTTTGTGCAATTCAAAATACTTTTGTATACTTAATCATAACAAGGTTATAAAACTGGAGTTTTAGAAAAATGCATTCAGTTGCATCACAGTATTTTTTTTATTTCGTAGAATGCTTTATTAATTGTTACTTTGTATTTCTGTTACAGTCAGGAATAGTCAGTAAATTACTAGAAGGTTTAATGAAGGCTGACTAATTTAAGTAATTTCACAATTATTTGTTGAAATTTACCCAGTCATTATCAAAATAAATTATATTTTATGAAGATTATTAGTTTTTATTTTGACTATGTCCCAATAAAAAATAAAAAAAGAGTTAATTACATAATAAAACTGCATATTTTCATGTAACTACATGAATATAATGTGAAACAAAACTTTGGTATTTTTCAGCCATGCGTCGAATAACATTTTTTTGGTATGTATTAGTAAAACTTGAAAGTGAAACAAAAAAATACTTGTTTTCTGATTGGGAAGTACTTTTAGAGCCGTATTTTGTTCAGAAGTATCCCTTCAATTGAATCCCTGCTTCGTTGAAACAGTTCTACAAATTTTTTCTCGGAGGGTCTCTTAAAGGTGTATCCGTGTGTATTTCCAGGTATATTTTCTTGTAGACTTACTACCTAATCTGGTTCCGGACCAAATATTTTAAAATTCCGACTGCTTATTCAACCACTAAACAGGCCAAAGATTTTGTAATTTCGACACTATACAGGCCTTTTTTTTTAGCTGATCTCGACTCTACCTCGGAAACGAAACACCTCTAAGGTCGGCTAAATTGGACAAAAGTTTCCTATTTTGGGGTACCAGAATAATATCTTTCAGGCCCAGAATAGCAGTGGTTATTTTTAAAATAATCTCCAACAACTAGAGTTATCGAATTTAGTTTTATTGGCTCTGCAGCCTCCATTTGAAATGATATAAAAAAAAAGGTAGTGGATGTTTCAATACTGTTTCATA